AGATGAAACGTTGGAAATAGTCTAACAAGGTCACTCCTAAGCATATAAATTGGACAAATATTAAAAAAGTCAAAATCTCAGAATTCCTTATTAGGAACCTAGGTGGCTAACCATCTCGTTCTATCCCCTAAGATTACCTAGTCTTATTGACCCCTTCAAGGTTATTTTACTCATTACCAATTGACTTTGGATTATATGTCTTCAATAAATCTAATATGATATCAAAGTTGAGTCTTGAATATCTAGTGGATTAAAATCTTTGCCTGAGTCCATTTTTCTCGTCTCTTATTTCTCACTTCACCCAAGTTCAATTTACCTTGATATTTGATTATTTTATTGTTAGTTTAAAGATTTTGAAAAAATTGATTAAATCTGAATTCAAATTTCGTCAACCCCATTAATATAGTGCCCCCAATAAATGTGTTTAGTTGTGTGGTTTCATTTACTTGGAAATTCTAAGTAGGCCAATCACATGAAATGTTTTTGATAGTATTGCTACAAATGGGAAAGTTCACCAAAAAAAACCTAAATAACTGCATTGCAAACCAAGCATAACAAATTGATGGCATATACACACAACTAGATAAATTCACTATGCATACACATTTAACAATATATCAATATATATAGTGGTGGAGTTATGATTTTAATTGAGTGAGATAAATTATTAGATTTTAGGGTTGGTTTAGAGTGTCTTAAAAAAGTGCACTTTTTGTCTTTTTACGAAAAGATGTGCAGAAAAGTAGAGAAATGATGTAATGGAAAAAAGATAAAAAGATAAAAAGATGGATTATATAGGTTATGTCAAACCTAGCCTACATAAAGTTTAATTTGTTAAAACAAAATCAATCATTAATATTTCAGAACTATTTCAATATCACTAAATATTTCTCCAATAAAATCATCTTAATATTTTAAAATGTAAAACTCTTAAATAATATGAAATGAAAAGAAAGATATCAATTAAATACACATAATAAAAAGATATATTTTCTTAATTTGTTAGAAGAATGAAAAAAAATATAAAGGATATATATATATATGTAAAATTTTAGGAAAAAAATTTGATGAGATTTTCAAACTTTAACTTAAAATTTAACTTCTTAGAAGTCGAGAAGAGACATGTGCTGTTTTTGGTCTCTTAATAGCTTCACCCTTATCTATAGAGGCGGCTACTAGACTTGGTTTATGAAGTCATTGCTTTCTTTGGGACTTTACTAGTCTATTTGTTAAAAATAAGCTTACAAAAAAACTAATGCTAAAAAAGTTAACTTGTTTGTTTGACATATATCTACCAGCTTTTCGAATAACTTTTTAGAGTGATTGAAGGTAATTTTTTTCGAAGAAAAGAGTTTGCCAAATGACTTATTTGTTTCGTAAAATGAATTTTTTTAGTTAATAAATGAACTTTCAGCCTTCGCCAAATAAAGTTCCAAAAAAACAAAAAAAGACTCTTCAAAATTTTGGTACAACCCCAGAAGAGGACATTAAATGATGTTGCAATTGGTGTATTTTTGTGGAATTTTCTTGCTAGATTATTTCCATGGAATTGATTAACTTGGAAATAGTGTGGTGGGGACTTTCACCACTTGAGACCACAAGATCAAAGCCTCTTCCTCTCTATAAAATGAGCCAAGTTCATAGTGTTTTTGCAACACATCGGCATATTGTCTTAGCTTTGTTTCTTTATCTTCCCCATATATATGTTAAATTTTTCTGGTAAAATGTCTTCCATGATTGCGACAATGCTTCTCCTTGGGGTATTAATGGCTACCTTGGACCTAACAGGTCTCACTTATGTGGATGTATTGTATTTTAGAAAATATTAATAATTTGTACAGGGAATGAATTAATAAAATATGATTTTATGAAAATAATTTTATTGCAACAATAGTAAACCTTTGCTAATGTAATCATTTTATTAGCAATGGGTTAACCTGTCGCATATACATATTAGTTCTAATCTTTTACAACAGTTTAAGTTAAAGATTTATTTGCGACGGTTTAGGCTATCGCAAATACAATATTAATTCAATTCTACTTTTTTAGTGACGTTTTTTTTCTGTTAGTTTTTCATTTTTTATGACATCAAATACCAAATATATATATATATATATATATATTCAACACATTTTCATATTCTTGTGTATTTATTGAATTTTTAGCATATTTTTTCACAAATATTTTTCTTTTTTAGTACATCTAAGTTATGTGCATTTAGAAAGTAAAAAATATATATTTAAAATATTAAAAAATAATTAAAAACAAAAAAACACGAAAAACAAAAAACTTAATTTTTAAAAAATCTACCAAAACTAAGGTGATTATTATTATTATTTTGGTATAGGGGAGGATTTAGTTTGAGAGAGAGGGGAGTCTTACATCACATCAACCATTTTAACCCTTTTCAAGAGCAAAAATGTTAAAAATTCTAAAAATTTTATCAAAATTTCTATCAAATATCTTATATGGATGTGGAACTCACATAAGACCCACATAGTGTAGATCCTACACTCATATGAGATATTTGATAAAAATCTTGATAGAACTATTAGGATCTCTAATATTACTCTTTAAAAAGATGTAAAAATTCTGATCACTGTTTGATTATTTTGCTAATACAAAATTATACAAAAACTATTTCAATATAGGTCTTCTAAAACTAGTTATGTGCCACCCAACACCCACACTCACAAAAATCAATATGTCATAATCATTTCATTTGTTTATTTGTAATATGAAAATTCTCAAGAAAATTGATTTAATTCTTTACATTGGTAACCATACTACGATTTTTCAAAGTCCCAACTTCCATACATTCAAAGATTGAGAACACAATTATAGTACAAAACAAACCTAATGTGTGACTCTTACTATTTTGTTAATATAATGTTGCAGGTGCCCAAACTGGGGTTTGCTATGGAATGCTTGGCGGCGGATTACCATCTCAACAAGATGTTGTAGCTCTTTACAACCAAAACGGCATCCGAAGAATGCGACTCTATGACCCAAACCAAGCTGCTCTTCAAGCCCTCAGAGGCTCCAACATTGAGCTCATGCTCGGTGTTCCAAACACTGATCTCCAGAGACTAGCTTCTAACCAAGCCGAAGCAAATACATGGGTCCAAAACAATGTCAAAAACTATGGCAATGTCAAATTCAGGTACATCGCGGTTGGAAATGAAGTCGATCCATCAAATCCCAACACAGCGCGATTTCTTCTCCCCGCCATGCGAAACGTGCGCACCGCTATTGTTGCAGCTGGCCTTGGGAACCAAATCAAAGTTTCCACTGCCATCCTCACTGGATTACTTGGAAACTCTTTTCCTCCATCAAAAGGCTCTTTTAAGCCTGAAATTCGATCGTTTCTTGACCCAATCATTGGTTTCTTGGCAAACAATGGTGCCCCATTGCTCCTTAACTTGTACACGTATTTCAGTTATGCAGGCAACACCAAAGACATTCGTCTTGATTACGCTCTGTTCACAGCTCCCTCGGTTGTGGTGACAGATGGCTCACTTGGATACAGAAATCTGTTTGATGCTATGTTGGATGCTGTTTACTCAGCGCTTGAGAATGCCGGTGGTGGCTCTTTGGAGATTGTCGTGTCTGAGAGTGGATGGCCTACAGTTGGTGGAACTGCTACATCAATTGATAATGCAAGGACCTACAATAACAATTTGATTCAGCATGTGAAAGGTGGGACCCCCAAAAAGCCAGGAAGGCCTATAGAAACATACATTTTTGCTATGTTTAATGAGGATCAAAAGAACCCGGAACTTGAGAAACATTGGGGACTCTTTCTACCAAACAAACAGCCTAAATACCCAGTCAACTTCAATTAAGAACACCAAGTGAAGCTTATGAAGGAAATAAGGGTACTAAACGTCAATATTTATCACTATCTTAAATAAGGTTTACTTGTAATTCCTTCTACTAGCAAAACATTATGTTTGTACCAGGAAGAATGCCCATATGAAGGCAAACAATCTAAATAAAGCTGTTTTTATGTAGAATCATAATCCCTTATAGACTGTTTAGTTCATCACAAAAATGCAATTTTTGTTCTTTCTCTTTAGTAAATGAAGTAGTGAAATTTCACTTTGTGAGGGATCCCATGAATTTTATCTAACGCTGTGTTTTGATAGAAGATTTGAGAATGAATATGGAAAGAGAAAGAAAAAAAGTGTGTAAAATTAATATTGTGTTTGGTTGGGGGATTTGGAAAGAGATTTGGAAAGGGAAAGGGAAAGGGAAAATGTGTGTGAAAGTAGGTGAACTCTAGGTATTTTTTATTCACATTTCACTTAACTTTTCTTTTTCCCTTTCTAAATCCCTCCTCAAATTCCCCAACCAAACACAGCATAGTGAAATGTAAATATATTTTATTTACATTTTACTTATCTTTTCCCTTTCTCTTTTCAAATCTCTTCCCAATAATATTTATCACCAAATTAATTTTATCTTTTTTTTTCATCTTCTAGATGAATTGGCATGACAAATGTTACGTATACCTATAAAACCCAACCCATTTACAACGTAAGGAACCCACAATATCATGGGTGATTATTCAGTATTCCTGGAGTATAGACACGTGGTGCTCCATGTGGTTTTGATTGGTGGAGACACTACAACAGATTGCACAATTGGCGACTAAAATTGGCGACCAAAGCAATTTTAGTCGCCAAAAACAGTATATTGGGCGACCAAAATCCAATTTTAGTTGGCATTCATTTACTGTTTTTAGCTACTAAATTCTTTTAGTCGTCGTATAGTATTATTGGCGACCAAATTTACTTTCAGTCACTGTTGGCAACCATTTTAGGCTACTAAAATTCCATTTAGTCGCCATATGATTACATTCTCCGACAAAAAATTTTTGTCGCCAAAAATTGGGAGTATTTTGATGAATATTTGGCGACCACAACATGATTAGTCGTTGTATGGTCTTTTTGGCGACCAATGTTTAGTTGCTGTTCACGACATTTGGCGACAAAAAAATGGTTTAGTCGCTAAAGCTTCGAATTTTTTTTAGAGGGAAACTCATTAATATATCGGCGCCTTATTTTTCTTCTGTTTCACACACACACCAACATACAGAGCACTCGATGCCAAACCTCAACACCACTGACCATCGCCGATCATCACCATCGCTGGCCACCGGCGCTCGCCACCACGACCACTGATTACAGGTATTTCTCTCTCATCTCTCTCCCTCTCTATCGATCTGTGTCTGTCTGTTTGTATCTCCTTCTCACTGTCTCTCTCATCCCCGTGTCTCACGATTTGTGTAGGGTTTTAAATGTTTGTTTTCTTTCATTTTCTGTTCAATTCGTAATCAATTTTTTAGGGCTTTTTCTGATTTCGTGAATGGGTGGTTGAAATTTTGGATTGTGGATTTCCGATTCTCCATTTTCTATTGTTCACCTATATGACCGAATGTGCCTCTGTTTTCTGGGATATTCCAAACTAACCCTATATATATATATATATATAATCTAAAAATTTAATCAATTTAGCATTTGATAATCCGAATGTGCCTCTGTTTCCGGGGGGAGATGTAATCTTGGAAACTCTGTCAATCTAGCATTTGCCAACGCGATTCAGTTGGGGTTTTAAATGCAAAACAAGGGTTGAAACTCCCAGTTTCAGTTTTGACACTACACAGATTTGGGCTTATATCAGAACATTGGGAAGATGTTGATGGGGAAGCGTTTGATGCAGCTGTAGATGTTTGTATTGGTGAAATAAATCCATTAGAAAATGCAGTGAAACAGTCCAAACGGAACACGGGAAGGGCAGAAGCTGCACAAGCAACTGTGGACCAAGTAAAAGTGGAGGGCATTGATACCAATCTAGCTGTAATGAAGGTTCATAAAAATATTTTCTATTTGTTTGGCTTTCTTGTGCCAGAACAATAATTTTTAGTAAGAATTGATTTTTACTTTTTATTTTGATTTTTAAGATCATCTGCATTTAGTTAGATAGGTGTAAAAATTGTATTATTATTATTTTTTATCACAAAAACCATGTTTGGTTCAGTCTTTGTGTTTGAAGAAAAGGGAGACTTTTTCCTCATTCTCCTTTAGGTTGATGGCAGCTTTTAAAAATACTGAAGGGTCCCAATCAACTAGACTATGAACACAATGAGGGGAAGTTAAGCAACTATTTTTCCATTTTAGATAAATCTATCTGATATTTTTCCCATATATTCTTCACCTTGATATAGCTGGTCCATTATATATGCATTGTTGGGAAATTGAATGCTGTGATGATTCTCCATTTTGGATTTCTGCTTCTCCATTTCTGCTTTTTTTTTTTGGAATTGAATGCTGTGATCAGGTTAGAAAGCTGATATTAAGCCTCTCTGAAATTTGTATCACTTGAAATCCATATTTGCTTTAATCGATCTGAGAGTTGGGGTTGTGTTCCCTTTAATTTGCCTTGTTCTTTCTCTCCTTGTGTTATCATTGTAATGTTCATGAAATTAGGAGAAAATGAAGTATCTTTGTCTAGAAATGCTTGTACAATATTTTTCCAATTTGTTGGAATCTAAGGGGAAAAGGAATGAATTTAGATACTATCTATTGTAGGTGTCTAGCTGATAATGAAACCATGGAGCATGTTTCATTGACGTGCTCTTGTGACAATGTTATCCTTTTAGTTACATTGAATTTAGACCATTGTTATCTCCTAATTTAATAATGTACAGAGGCATGAACAGTTTCTAAGGTACATTTTTTTACATTATATATTTATAGTTTATTAAGCAAATTCATTGTTACAGTTCAGAGGTTCGATATCTCTCGGGTCACTTTGGTGGAACTCCAAACTTTAGGCTTGCACCACCGAAGGAATTAGTTGAAAAGGCAAGTATTGCTTTGTCTTCTTTACATTCTTTACACTTTTTGGTTGTTTTGATGCCTTGAAATTTATTAATGAAAAACCTGTTTTCTGTACACCGTTGATTTGTAATTATAATCCAATTCTACCAAGCTCCTAACCAACTATATGCAATTGACAAATAGGCAAAACATCCCGATCTGTTATTACTATTTTGGTAAACATCAAAAAGCAATGCTAATCGAACCCTTAAACTTACTTAAGCTCTCTTCCATTACAGAGTACTTTTCCAAGTTGCCGTCCATTCTCAGGTTCATCTTTGGTTCATGTGTACTGTTCCAATAATGGACAAGAGTTGGATGATGATAAAAGCTCGGCTCAAAAGTAAAGAGTATGTACAGGGTGTTCAATCATTTATTGAGTTCGCTACGAAGAATTTAGGGCCGCATGATGAAATCCGTTGTCCTTGTGTTGATTGCTTGAACGGCACAAAATTTAGTCGACACGTTGTACGGTTGCACTTGATTCGAAGAGGAATCGCAATTTCTTATCGAACTTGGGTGCACCATGGGGAACATGTGTCCCATGTTTCGTGATCATCCTACTATGCGAAACGATGATACTGAAAGCAACGAACCTGGAATGACAGACAATCACGAAAATGTGGGTGAACTTCCTACCATGTTAGAAGAGATTTACATGAGTGGTCTCATGAATGATCATATCGACGAACAACATACTAGTTCGGAGAGGCACAATTTGTTGAAGTTCATGAAGTTGTTCGATGATGCCCAACGCAAAGTATATCCAGAGTGCGAAAAGTTCTCCATCTTGTCCTTCGTAATTAAGATGCTTCATTTGAAGGTGTACAATAAATGGAGCAACAAATCTTTTGATATGGTTATGCAAGTTTTCAAAGACATTTTACCAAAGTGTGATGAAACTATTCCGTGGACCCTTTATGAAGCGAAAAAGTTCTTACGTGAATTGGGTTTGGGATATGAGGCTATTCATGCATGTAAGAATGATTGTACCCTATTTTGGAAGGAAAACGCCACATTAGAGGTACGGAGTGTAGATACAAGTTGAACGACAAGGCCGGTAAAAAAATTCCATACAAAATACTGAGGTACTTTCCTTTGACACTAAGGTTGAAGAGATTGTACATGTCGAAAACAACAGCCACATTTATGAGATGGCACAAAGATAAGCGTGTGGATGATGGAGTATTACGACATCCAGCTGATGGTGAGGCATGGAAGGATTTTGATAGGTTGCATCCTACGTTCTCTGCAGATCCTCGGAACGTAAGGCTAGGGCTTGCCACAGATGGTTTCAATCCATTCGGAAATATAAGTACATCGCACAGTATGTGGCCCGTAATCTTAATGCCTTGCAATCTACCCCCCTGGAAGTGTATGAAAGATCCATTTGTCATGATGTCATTGCTTATTCCCGGACGATCCGCACTTGGAAGAGACATCGATGTTTACTTGCAACCATTAGTAGAAGAGTTAACTAATCTGTGGGAGCATGGTGTGCAAACATATGATGCCTCGAATGGCCAAATATTTACAATGCATGCAGCAGTCATGTGGACCATCAATGGCTTCCTCACATATGGTTCCTTGTCTGGTTAGAGTACAAAAGGTTACTTGGCATGCCCCAATTGTAACATGGATCCTTCATCTCAGAGTTTGCGAAGTAAGATAGGGTATATGGGTGCTCGGCGGTACTTACCTGAGAACCATAATTGGCGAAGAAGTAGGCTATTCAACGGTGACATTGAGAATCGGTCCAAACCCGTGGAGTTATCGGGAGAACAAATACTGGAGCAAATTAATTTAGGAATCTACAAGCCCTACGGAAAGCATCTAACCAACCAAAAAAGACAAAGGATTGAAAAGCCAAATCCAAACTGGACAAAAAAAAAGCATTTTGTTTGACCTACCCTATTGGAAAACACTTAAGCTTCGACATAACCTTGATGTCATGCACATAGAGAAGAATATATGAGACAATTTGCTTGGGACACTATTGAGCATAGATGGCAAGAACAAGGACACAGACAAAGCACGTTTGGATTTGGAGGACATGCGAATACGAAAGGAGTTACACTTGATAAGGCATGCGAATGGCTCTTTCGAGAAGCCTCCGGCATTGTACACATTGTCCCCGATAGAGAGACAAGGGTTTTCTGATTTTCTGAAATCGATTAAGTATCCTAATGGCTATGCGGCAAATGTATCCAACTGTGTCACCGCGAATGGTGGTAAGTTAGTTGGCCTTAAGAGTTATGACTGTCATGTCCTTCTACAACGGCTTCTTCCCATTGGGATGCGAGGATACCTTCCTACCGAGATTGGGACCACATTGTTTGAGTTGGGAACTTTTTTTAAACAGTTGTGCTCAAAGACATTGCGGGTGACTGATTTGGAGAAATTGCAAGAACAAATCGTACTTATACTTTGTAAGCTTTAGAAGATTTTTCCTCCTGCTTTTTTTGATGTCATGGTCCACTTGGCAATTCATTTACCTTATGAGGCTATGCTTGGAGGGCCTGTGCAATATTGATGGATGTATCCTATTGAGAGGTATAACTACGATGGGGGTCCTTTTTTCATGTAAATATAGTTCAATATGATCATACTAACGATCAGGCTGATGTTTACATGTAGGATGCTCGGACTTCTTAAAGGATTCGTGGGCAATAAAGCTCGGCCAGAAGGTTCCGTTGCGGAGGGCTACATATCGAAAGAGTGCACGACGTTTTGTTCAATGTATTTGGATGGAGTTGAAACGGTGTTTAACCGGGAAGAAAGGAACTATGATGGGGGTGACAATGGCCCAGGGTTGGCGATTTTCACTCAAAATGTTCGTCCTTTTGGTCAACTCACAAGGGAAATTGATGTGTCCGTAACTGACCGCGAATTCGCTCATTGGTTTGTCCTACACAATAGTTTGGAAGTTGACGAATATCTAGAGTACGATTCCTCATCATACATGCAACATACATCTTGTACACGGTTTTTTTTTTTTTTTCGAAGTCTTCAAGATGCTTCATTTGAAGGTGTACAATAAATGGAGCAACAAATCTTTCGACATGGTTATGCAAGTTTTCAAAGACATTCTACCAAACTGTGATGAAACTGTTCCATGGACTCCCAAAAAAATAAATATATCTTTTGCCGACTAAATATTTAGTAGCTAAAATGAATAGAAAATAGTTTTGGTGACTAATTGTTTTGTAGCTAAAAACTGAAAATAGTTTTGGCTACTAAAGCCTGTAGTAGCTAAACTAGAAGAAGCTTTCCCCGACAAAATCTTTAGTAGCTAAAAATGACACTTTCGGCGACTAATATCTTAGTCGCTAATAGGACTCATCGGCGACTAAAACAGCGTTAGTCGGTAATAGCTTATCTTTTGCCTACTAAAAATTAGTCGGCATTATGTTGGATTTTTAGAATGAGGGGAAGTTAAGCAACTATTTTTCCATTTTAGATAAATCTATCTGATATTTTTCCCATATATTCTTCACCTTGATATAGCTGGTCTATTATATATGCATTGTTGGGAAATTGAATGCTGTGATGATTCTCCATTTTGGATTTCTGCTTCTCCATTTCTGCTTTTTTTTTTTGGAATTGAATGCTGTGATCAGGTTAGAAAGCTGATATTAAGCCTCTCTGAAATTTGTATCACTTGAAATCCATATTTGCTTTAATCGATCTGAGAGTTGGGGTTGTGTTCCCTTTAATTTGCCTTGTTCTTTCTCTCCTTGTGTTATCATTGTAATGTTCATGAAATTAGGAGAAAATGAAGTATCTTTATCTAGAAATGCTTGTACAATATTTTGCCAATTTGTTGGAATCTAAGGGGAAAATGGATGAATTTAGATACTATCTATTGTAGGTGTCTAGCTGATAATGAAACCATGGAGCATGTTTCATTGACGTGCTCTTGTGACAATGTTATCCTTTAGTTACATTGAATTTGGACCATTGTTATCTCCTAATTTAATAATGTACAGAGGCATGAGCAGTTTCTAAGGTACATTTTTTTACATTATATATTTATAGTTTATTAAGCAAATTCATTGTTACAGTTCAGAGGTTCGATATCTCTCGGGTCACTTTGGTGGAACTCCAAACTTTAGGCTTACACCACCGAAGGAATTAGTTGAAAAGGCAAGTATTGCTTTGTCTTCTTTACATTCTTGACCATACAAACAAAAAATTTGGTGCCTGCTTTAATATGGTTAGTTACAAACTTGACCATACATCTAATGGAAATAATGAGATCAAACCCACAACTCTTTGGTACTGTTACAGTAGGATTCTGATAAACGCATGACCTGTCCTATAGTATACAGTGATTGTCATTTTCATAAATCCAATACTTTAGTTATTTTTATTTTATGTTTTTTCTTATTCTTCTCTTGCTACAGCAGGATCAAGTGAAGATAGATGGACTTGCATGTGCAGTGCAGATAGTTTACCTGAAGTAGCAGCTGGCAATCTCAAACATTATACATAAAAGACACATGACAACAGTCTCAAGCAAAATATACCAGGACTAAAATTATTGTGGTTGTTGAAAGATAGCGCTTTAGCATAGCTAGTTTACCAGACACTCCCCATAAAATCCTCTGCGTAAACAAACTTTGAAAACCTTATCCAGCAATTTTGTAAATAAGTTCAGCTAGAAAGAATGGTTGGTTGTGAGTCTTGCCAGAATGAGTTGTGAGCCAATAAATGATGCTAGAAGGAGACCCATAACACTCTTGGCATAGAATTTGTTGTCATTGTTTTGATCTTGCTCAATTCTTGCATAAATGGAAAAGTGAACCAGATCGTCTCTTCAAAGGTGATTATTACTGGTTATGTGGAAGTTCTTAGTAGGATGGTAAGATGATGAATCAAGGGAATTAAGCTTGGTTGACTGGGGGCTTGATTGTGATTGCAGAAAAGATGCTCACGTCAAGCTTAATACATTGGCTGCTTAATCTGCTTAATCATGGTTAATCTGCTTAATCTGCTGGCTGCTATTTTAGTTTTATTGTTGTAAATGTATGTAAATGATGTGAGTGATGTTTATTACTCATGTCATTTTGTTATTTTTTTATGTAGGTACCATGGTTCCTGGAATGAAGACGGGGCGGCGGAAGACAGCAACAAGTGGTAACCTATTATCAGCCTCCGAAGCATGTCCAGCAGTTATTGGCACCCCGTTGACGTTATCTGATGAGACGCAGCCACCAGATGATACACAAACAGTGGTGGAGGAGACGCAGCCAGGTGGCGTGGGTAAGAGCACTTCTGTAGTTGTTTACAAATCTTTTTTTTCTTTTTCTTGGGGTGCATAAGTCAGGTCTTTACGGAAATGAAAACCCCATAAATAGAAAGAAAAACAAAGAAAATGTGAATGGCTTGTGAATCTGATTGGTAAGGAATGCCTTTGTTCATCTGTAGTTTAATATGTTTGTTAATCTTGTTAGTCAATGTGAATGCCTTAGTGACCACATAACCTGCCTATAGTACCCAACCCTTCAACTCATTTTGTTGTATCTCAAGTTTAACAGAGGCAACACATGCACTCTTCGGTTGGCCTATAGTTGGTTGAGGTGATATTATAGCTTTATTGTGCTTTACATATTTAAAATTAAAATATGTAAATTTTGTTGTACATAAAGTTCATTGATTTAGTTTTTTTTGATCAGCAAAAAAGAAAGAACCATTATAGATGGAAAACCATACAATGAGATTACATCAAATAAAGGGAAGGAATTTGGTAAGGAACCAAACCCGAAAGGAAAAAAACAGGAGAACATAACACAGACAAAGTGAACCAAAGCATAACAGAAAATCTAAATAGACCAAGCACAGCAGACACAGCAGTAGGAAGACCTATTTTTGCAAAAATGAACCTAAGCCAAAAACAATTCAAAATGCATACTTGACCCTTTGCCATCAGCCCAGAATTACACAGCAGATTCAACCATAGCATACTAGCAAACCTTAGCTTAGCAGCCCAGAGGCCACCAGCAGTCCACCATCAGACCAACAGAGCCAAACAATGTAACAACAGACCACCAACAGTCCAGCAACATAGCATAACACATCATCCCAGACTTAACAGCCCACAACTAAGCCTAGCAAATCAGTTAAACAGCTCTGCAAGAACACTTGCAGAACACCATATCAGAACAGCATGCAGGACTTGCAGCCATAACTTGCAGCCAGCTTGCCCACTTGCATATCATATTGACCCAAATTGACAGCCCACTATTAGATTTAGTTGAGTTCTAAACTTAAAAGAAACCAAGGGCTGTACACTTAAATATTAGTTTGATAGTCACTAATTAAGTCTTTGCTGTTACAATGCGTAAAATGTGTTTCTTTTTTTTTTTTAAAATGAAGCAACAACTCATACTAGTTGAGTTCATTAACTTTGTTTGTAATTTGTGACCTGCTTCCCCTTTTGTGGCAGGGCGAAAAAGGTCGACTCGTGTACGAGGACGTACATTAGGCAAAAGAGTGCAAAAAAGAATAGTTAGGAAAAAAGGAGAGAAATTACATGTGTATGTCAATCGTGTGTTGAACGCAATCACAGGAGGGAATGCAACCCCAGCGACAAATGAGTTGGGATTGCAAATTAGACGATTGTGCCCTCTTCGGAGCGTGAAGTCATGGAGAAAAATCGATCAAAGTACCAAAGATGCGGTCATCCAAGCGGTGCTAGTATGAGATTCATCTTGGTTAAATTATTATGTTATTTGTAATTGCTTAAATTAATTGATGAACTAATTGTCTTATTATGTTTGTAGGACAAGTTTGTTATCGGCGATGATTTTGATAATGATGAACAAGCTCAACAAATCCTCGATAGGAAGGCATATTTGCTATACAAGGATTGGAGGTACAATCTAAAGCAAGAGTTCCTCGAACTTGAGGAAAGGGGTGTTGATGACCCCTATAGTCATCCGCCTAGTGGAGTGAGCTTGGACGACTGGAAATATCTTATTGATGTTGCTTGGAAAGACGAATCTCACTTGGTAACAAATTAATTAGAAACCCCATTCTTGAAATTCATTTATGTGAATATAAATAAAAATTCTTTACTAATTATATTTTTTTTTGTAATTTTGTTTTTTGTTTTTTGTTTTTTTTTTTTTTTTTTTAGAAACGCTCTAAAGCTGGTAAAGCAAATAGGGCTATGCTCCCGTACAATCATACAAGTGGATCGCGATCATTTCCTATAGCAATGTCGCTTATGGTGAGAAGTAGTTATTTGTTTAGTAATATAATGGATGATTGATTCTTCTTCATTTTGAATATTACTATGTAGTACTTCATCAATGGAAATTTTTGAAACATAATAGGCAAATGAGGATGGACAAATAGATTTCCCTGAATTTTATAAGAAATCACACAAGTCCAAGAAGACGGGAGACTGGATTGACCCCAAATGTGGTGAGCTACATGTGAGTATTGAATGTTGAAACCAATTTTGTTGTGTATCAATTACTAAAGTTGTTTTCAATTCCTTCAACTATCTTGACTTTCTTATTTTTTTGCCATGATAGGATGATATGGTCAATCTACAAGTCGTAGCCACCGATGCGGGGTTGCCATTGACCCACGAAGAACTATCAAGGCAAGTGCTCGGGGCAAAAAAAAATTACTTGCGTGGATGTGGGATAGGCCCACAACCCTCTTCAACAGCTTCGAATGTGGCACGAGCACGTGACAAACATATGGAGTCAATGAGAACGGAATTGGAGGCTCTTCGTGAGGAGCGTGAAAGAGATCACGAGGAGTTGCTGAAGGAGAAAGAGGAGCGGCAAAGAGATCACGAGGAGTTGCTAAAGGAGAAAGAGGAGCGGCAAAGAGATAGGGAGGAAATTATGAGGGAAAGAAAGGAGCTGATGAAACAAATTGAAGAGGAAAAAAAAGCACGGGAGGCACAACAAGTACAACTCAATCATTTGAACGACGTGGTGTCACGACTGACAACCCTCTTGCAGGGTTCAGATGGTCATCCTACAATTCCTTATAAATATATATGTTATATAAGCATCTCTATATATTTAGTTTCATGAATAAAATATATATGTGTACACTTTAGACTAAACTTGACTTCGGGCTCATGCATGACTTGGAGGCAAATTTGCCTTAAACTGTGTGGATACCAATACAGATAAATGGAGGGGCAAATATTGTCCTATGGAAAGTGACCTAGTCTACACCTTGAGAGAGAACCAAGATGAAGGCTTTCTTATGAATAAAAATTATTGGTTGTTGACTGCTCATGAATTCTAGTTACCGTGATGACCTAGAAAGTGGAAGGTTTGTTGATCATTATGGAGATTTAGATGTTAGATTTTAAGTGTGAGAAACAAATCTTGGAAATGTGAAATATACAAGTTACTGGGTAATAAATACACTCTTGAAATTGTATGATGCTGCGAAACACATGGCCTATATACACCTCATCTGTTACATGATCACTGTTGTGGCTGAACATCATTCATGTTGAATTGGAATTTTAAGTGTTTTGCTCAACAAAAGAATGACTGTGAAGTTGAATAAAAATTCAGAAACTGTTGGAGCTAATAAACGAGACCGGTGTCATAATCTTTTCATGGCAACTGTGAATTTGTGGTGATCATTCAGCTTTAACCTTTTTTTGTTTATGCTTACATACAACTGTAAACTATAAACTCATGTGGTTCACCCTTTTTTTTGTTTATGTTTACATACATGATGCCAGGTGCGGAGGGAAGGGCACATCAAGTGGGGTCATGCCCCCTTAAACGTTTGTACATACTTTTTGTTAAAAAATTTTGTTTACAATGGAACTAATGGGTGTCATTTTTGTTGTGTAGATGGCTTTTGGCATTGACATGTGGATCTTCTATTTTTTGTCCGGAAGATAATTCACAGTTTTGCAAAGTTGGGAAGTTTTGGGTCGTCCTCAGCTTTTTGTGTGGAAATTGGATGAATCGTACATATAATTTTAGCACGCGTTACATAGTATTTTTGGAAATTGTATTAATTGCTATGGTGGTATATGTAGATTACCTTTTGTCGTGGTACATATTACCATGGTAATTTGTACCATGCCAAATGGTCATTACAATGCATAGTGTAGTAACAATGTTTTGTGTATAGAGGACATTGTTTTGGTAACATAGTTGGAATGTACGACATTATTTGTGATTGGAATATATTAGTTGGTTTGTATGTAAGTTTACATTGTAAAGTGTTCTTTTTTGTTTGATGGTTGTAAGTGAAACATGCATTACGGAATAGGTGATAATATATATATTGATTTGTTTGTATACCTATTACAGGTTGCGGTGGATATATACAGGTTTTGAAAAAAATTATTAAAATGAAAAAAATTAAACAAAATAAAAAATGACATTTTTGGTGACAAAAAAATTGGTAGCCAAAAAACAGAAATAAATCTTTTGGCGACTAAATATTTAGTAGCTAAAACGAATTGAAAATAGTTTTGGCGACTAATGTTTAGTAGCTAAAACCAAAACACTTTTGGCGACTAAACTGTATAGTAGCTAAAACTAGAATAAACTTTCCGTGACAAAATGTTTAGTAGCTAAAAATGAAGTATTGGCGACTACTAAATTGGTCGCCATTTATAATTGAATTTTTGGCGACAAAAGATTAGTAGCTGAAGATGTATTGATGTTCCCTTTGGGCGACTAACATCTTAGTCGCCAATAACATTATGTTTGTACCAGGAAGAATGCCCATATGAAGGCGAACAATCTAAATAAAGCTGTTTTTATGTAGAATCATAATCCCTTATAGACTGTTTAGTTCATCACAAAAATGAAATTCTTGTTCTTTCTCTTTAGTAAATGAAGTAGTGAAATTTCACTTTGTGAGGGATCCCATGAATTTTATCTAACGCTGTGTTTTGATAGAGGATTTGAGAATGAATATGGAAAGAAAAAGGAAAAAAGTGTGTAAAATTAATATTGTGTTTGGTTGGGAGATTTAGAGAGAGATTTGAAAATGGAAAGGGAAAATGTGTGTGAAAGTAGGTGAACTCTAGGTATTTTTTATTCACATTTCACTTAACTTTTCATTTTCCCTTTCTAAATCCCTCCTCAAATTCTCCAACCAAACACAGCATAGTGAAATGTAAATATATTTTATTTACATTTTACTTATCTTTTCCCTTTCCCTTTTCAAATCCCTTCCAAATAATATTTATCACCAAATTAATTTTATTTTTTTTTTCATCTTCTAGATGAATTCGCATGACAAATGTTACGTATACCTATAAAACCCAACCCATTTACAACGTAAGGGAACCCACAATATCATGGGTGATTATTTAGTATTCCTGGAGTATAGACACGTGGTGCTTCATGTGGTTTTGATTGGTGGAGAGGCATAAGGGCCCATAATTTATGTTTGGGATGGAGAAATAATATGGGGCTAAGTAATTAATGATTGACTAAGAATATGACCACGTGGTGCTCCCAGAGTATTGAATAATTTCCTCAATAATAGTCACATAAAAATTGAATTACGGTGAAATATTCATGTCAATATATAACCACCCTATTATCTTCACAACTAGCACAACCACTAAATGCATAGAATAAAATATTACCATGAGCACCAATATATTTTTTTTCAATAGCAACTTATTGATTTTTATTTTTATTTTTTTGGGCAAAAACAACTTATTCATTACGGTAAGGGCAAATTACATATACCCCTCGAGATTTAACTAAATTACCGATACTCCCTTAAGGTTTGAAAAATTACAGATATCCTCCCTAAAAGATATATTTGCATAACAAATTAGGGGGCAATTTGTTGTGAAAATATAAACTTCAGGGGGCAATTTGTTATGAAAATATAAACCTCAAGGTGATATCTGTAATTTCTCAAATCTCATGAGATATCTGTAATTTAGTTAAACCTCGAGGGAGGTATATGTAATTTGCCCGTACGCTAAACAAAAACAACAGTTATGCTCAAAATAATTATTCCATCTCCTAAACCTAAATGATGCATTGTCCTCAATGTATCATGAAAATTAAAATCGAAAAATTTACGGGATAACTTCATATGACAACCAATGTCCATGTTTGTTCCGTCTCCAATGGGTTAGCAACACAAAAGCACAAAATAAAAGAAAAAAATGTATTAAAAATTAATGGATGAGCAATTTTGCCAAAATGAAAAAAATGGATCAGTTGCATTATCTTAGTAATGACTTTTGGAAAGAGACGCTAGATATCATTTGTATGGCCTAAGCTCATCTCCAGTTTTAATCAGACTTGATCGTGCTACTGGATCTTTGTGAGCCGATCACAGACCATTAATGTGTAAAATTTATTAAGTACTTTATTTCTGTAAAAAATCACGTTTGTTAGAAATTAATAGTCATTTAATCAATTTATATTTATGTTAACTAAAAATATGATTTTTTTTTAAAAAAATTACTGACAAAAATATGATTTGATCAAGTAACTATTGATATCCGATTAATATGATTTTTTGCAAAGATAAAGTGTTCGATACGTTCTACACAATCATCAGTTTAAATTATCAAGAAAGACCTGAAATGGATCCTAAATAAGTCAGACTGGATGATCTAGTTGGGCTGCCCAACTGGACATAGAAAATAGTCAAAATTTAATGTTACATTGAATTCATGAAAATGACTCTCTACCAAACATTTGAAAAAGGATAAATTACAAATACACCCCTTGAGGTTCGCTTAAAATTCAAATTACCCCATGTGATTTGAAAAAATACAAATACCTCCCTGTCAGAATTTTATATTTAACAGAATTAATTGAAAAAATAAAATTTTAATTGTTCACCTATACAATAATAAAATTATCTGAATTATTAATTGAAATAAAATTTTAACATTATTAAAAACTATTAATTAACTTAATGATTTATTAATAAAAAGACCTATTTATTATTGATGACACAGTTCGTTCCAGGTGGAACGGGTCGGACTGATCCACGCTCCTCAAGCCTATGTCCGAATGACCAAGCCCTCCAGATGACCTGCACAAGAGTTCAACGGGGAACAGGGAGTCCCCCAGCGAACCCTCCGACGAGCAAGTTAGAGAGAGAAGTGGATTGTAGAGATAGATTAGAGATAGAAAACTTAACCTTCTTCTTGTCTTCGACGTCTGCTTATATCCTCTGGTAATCATTTCGTTGTCCCTTCCGACCTGTCTTCATGGCCAAAAGTCTATGCTCTAGCTCCTCTTGTTCATGGTGAAGTCGTTCTGTCCCAACGGAGAGGGGTTGTTGCAATAAATGCTGCAAGGGGCTTCATTAATGACGATGTGTCGTGGCAATAACTTTACAGGATCTTTGTCTGCTTATGTAGCTTGTCCTTTACCTGCCACGTGTCTGAATATCATTGGCTCTTCATACCATGCTGACTTCCAACTATGTTGGGCCTCATCAGTTGAATTATGTATTGAGCCCTAAGTGGTAGGCTTGGGTTGTTCATGGTGGGTTGTAGTCTTTATGGGCTTACCCATATCAGTAGTCCCACATTCCCGAGTGCAGCTCTAGTCCAACGAAGGGAATAATGAAGAAAGTGAGAGTTGTGAGAGGCCGTCGGGATGAAGGCCGACCAAGAGGGGTAACCGACCAAGAGGGGGACCAACCGCGCAGGGTGGCTGGTCGGGCCGACCGCGAAGGTGATCGAGTGATGGGGCCAACCCTGAGGAGGGACGACCATGAAGGGTGGCCGAGTGGAGGGACCGACCGTGAGGAGGGCCGACCGCAGAAAGTGGGTGGTGTGGCGCGGGGCACGTGGTAAGGTGAAGTGGAATAGACAAGGAAGGGGAAAGGGGCAGTGGATTGTGATCGTACACGTGGCAGAATCTCGTGGTGGGGGAGGTTAGGCGTTGGGCAATAAGTTAAACGATAGGTCATTATAGGGTGTTGAAAAGACAGATTTGGCAGATTTTTGAAAATTTTCAAACTAACGAAATTTAATTGTGACCCTTGGAATACGGGCAAGCCTTGGGCCTTTGGTATTATTCGCCTTACCTACCTTTTTGGAAAAAATCAAAAC